AGCTTGCAGACAGCCTATTGTGGGATCTTGTGATTGTGTAAGTTAATACTTTATATAGAAAGCACAGTTTATATACATATATATCCTATTAGTTCTGTCCCTCTAAGAAAACCCTGACTAATACAGCCCCCCCATAAAAACTCTGGACACTGAAGCTCAGGTGTGCTTTCCTCGTTGGCGATTCTCTATGTGTATCGTGCACGTTAATACCAGGAAGACAATGCATCTGACTCCCAGGGGAGAGGATATGGAAACTTCATGTTTGGAATCCCTCAGATCCTGCGCTATGCATTTCCTTCTTTAGCCAGTCTCTATCTCTTCCTGTAATAAATCAGAACTGTGAATATAACATTTTTTTGTGAATTTCGTGAGTCTTTTTAGCAAATTACCAAAACTGAGGGAGATTTTGGCAAACGATTGATCTTGTGGTTGGTATCACAGTGAGGACAGTCTTATGGTTGATGTTATGCCCTCAACCTTTTCAGTCTGGCTAACTGGGCAGTGTGCGTGTGTGTGTGTGTGTGTGTGTGCATGTGTAGAGTACAACAGTAGCATAGGGTTTGTTTGTTTGTTTGTTTTTTTCACAGAGTCTCACTCAGTCACCCAAGCTACCTCCTGGGTTCAAGCAAGTCTCCTGCCTTAGCCTCCCATGTAGATGGGACTACAGGTACATGACACCATGCCCGGCTAATTTTTGTGTTTTTAGTAGAGACGAGGTTTCACCATGTTGGCCAGGCTGGTCTTGAACTCCTGACCTCAGGTGATCCGCCCATTTTGGCCTCCCAAAGTGCTAGGATTACAGGCATGAGCCACCGCACCTAGCCCACATAGGGTATTTATAATTAGAACAGCCTGAGAGAAGCTATAACATATTAGCAAGGTTTAGATACTTCTCTTACATTTTTATTTCCAACCTGCTTACTGTGAGACGTTTTCCACTGGTCTCGTAGTCTAAACCCACACCCTGACTTTGTGATGCATGTCGTTTTTATCCTAGTGTACTCCATACTCACCCAAAGCTCCTGTGTTTATTTTGACTCCAACTCTGGAAACAGAAAGTGAACTCATAGAACTGTTTTTTTTTTTTTTCTTGGCAAGATTTAGGACCTCATAAATCATGGTGGCAAGAAATGTAATGATGGTCTCTTTCGGTTCTTGAGGAGATTGGAAGAGGAGAGGCGTGCAGGTTCCAATGTGGTTTTATAATTTTTCCCAGTGGTGGCACAGTGAGGAAGATTCCAGCAGACTAGTTCCTCAGTCCTAACTAGGTAGTAATTCTCTACTTGAATGTTCTTGCAATGAAAATGCACAGATACTCACCAGTGTCACTCAGGCAGGGCAGTTTAGTGCCTGCTGCGGAACTCCTGGCAGTTAACAATGAAATTGTCAAGATTTCCTTTGTGTTCCCTTCCAAGCAGGCAAGGCATCGTTTTTGTCCAGTGGTTTAGCACATGAATCAATCCTTTTATGTGTGTTCAGTGGGACCATGTGTGTTTTCAGAAACTGTCTGGCTTTATACCTGGCAGGATTTCTTGTTGGGCAGTAGTTCTGCAAATGAGAAAGAAAATATGCAGATTCTCACATGTCCCCAGATTGAATTACAAGGCAAAAGAGACTATTGTTTTCTGGCCTGGTATTTGGCTTTGATATATATATATGATATATCATATATATATATTTATTTATTTATTTGAGTTGGAGTCTCACTCTGTTGCCCACGCTGGAGTGCAATGGCATGATGTCGGCTCACTGCAACCTTTGCCTCCCAGGTAAAAGTGATTCTCCTGCCTCAGCCTCTCAAGTAGCTGGGACCACAGGTGTCACTACCACACCCAGCTAATTTTTGGAATTTTGGTAGAGACAGGGTTTCACCATGTTGGCCAGGCTGGTCTCAAACTCCTGACCTCAGGTGATCCAGCCACCTCAGCCTCCCAAAGTGCTGGGATTAAAGGCATGAATCACCGCACCTGGCCAGATCATTTTGATTCTTAGAGATATGCCATCCAGTACTAAACCTGGGTTCTTAAAAAATGAATTATATAAAACATTGATATTTTCCAGATTATAACTGACAGAGGGAGGAGGAGACACACATAGCAAATGTGGACAGGTAGGAGAAAAAGGAATATCTAGTAATGCTTTTATTCCTGCACAGCTTATGTACTTATTGCTATATTTCTTATTTCTCAACAATGTTTATTTAAGAAGAGCTAATATGTAAATTCGTACAACCAGTGTGAAGTATAGTGTAGAGGTTCCTCAGAAAACTAAGAATAGAGCCACCATCCAGCCATCCCACTGCTGGGTATGTACCCCAAAGAAAGGAAATCAGTGTACGTCCATGTTTGTTACAGCACTATTCACAATAGCCAAGATTTGGAAGCAACCTATGTGTTCAACAATCAATGAATGGATAAAGAAAATGTGATACATATACACAATGGAGTACTATTCGGCCATAAAAGGAGTGAGATACTGTTATTTGCAACAACACGGATGGAACTGGAGGACATTATGTTAAGTGAAATGAGCCAGGCACTGAAAGACAAACTTCACATGTTCTCACTTATTTGTGGGAGCTAAAATTTAAAACTATTGAACTCATGGAGATAGAGAGTAGAATGATAGTTACCAGAGACTGGGAAGGTTAGTGGAGGGTTTGTAGGAGGGGGCAAAGTGGGAATGGTTAATGGGCATAAAAAATAGAAAGAAAGAATAAAACCTAGTTGTTGATAGCACAACAGGGTGACTACAGTCAATAATAATATAATTGTACATTTAAAAATAATTAAAAGTATAATTGGATTGTTTGTAACACGAAGGATAATGCTTAAGGGGATGGATACATGAGACGCTTTGATATAGACATGCAACGTATAATAATAACATCATGGTAAATCACATCAGTTACCGTGTGGTTGTGGTTGGTGTTACAGTGAGGACAGTCTTACGGTTGACATTGTGCCCTGTGCCATTTGCCATGATGTGGTTATTACACATTGCATGGCTATATCAAAATATCTCAGATACCCCATAAATATATACACCTACTATGTACTCACAAAAATTGAAAATTAAAATAAAATTTAAAGGAGTCAATCCAGCTTGGCTTAATTCCTGCCTCAAGGCTATTTATAAAAAACTCTCTAAGCAAAGCCGATCTTACACCTCCATGCACAAATGTTGAGGGGATTATATGTCAAACTGTTGGGGGTCTTTTGTCTACAGAATATCCATAGAAAAAAATTCCAAGAATGTTTGGAGACCAACACATGTGTAGTGTAATATAGATATAGTGCTTTTAAGAGACCTGAAAGACGAAATGGACACCAATGAAAAAATTAAAGGTTAGGTATTGCCCTGCTGAATATTTAACTAGAGGGGTCATTTTGGTTGAAAGCAATCTCTGAAACAATTAAAATATGATTTAGTGTATGAATGTTTATTCTCACCCAGCTTATTTAGAAATATATCCATCTTATAAGGCAACTGGCCTTTTCATTTAATTTCTCTACTGAAAAATGGATATTTCGTGTTTTAGGAAGCGTATCCCATAGGTTGGGTTTATTTATTCTGGTTTTAAAAAAGAAAATGCGCAATGCAAGGACTCACAAGACCTCAGAGTTTTGCAAAGCTTGAAATGCTAAGAAAATGTAATCTAAATTCCCTGAATAAAGTGATGGAAACCAGTGTGAAACTATGTGGCGAATAGTTGCATACGTTAAATCTACATTTTGAAGTCTTAACATGGAGTCTGTCGATGGGCTTCTGGGCATCCACAAATAAAATTACACCAAATATTTATGTGTGTATACACTTAGTGGAGAGATGCTCCATTGCTTTGGTTGTTAAAGGGCTTAAGCACCATTTTGAGTTTAGGTGTGGGGCAAAGGGGATGTGCTGTAGATGGAAAGTTTTGTCCCCCGCAACCCCCCAACAAATTCATATTGACATCTTAGCTCCCAGTATCCCAAAGGTGGGGCCTTTGGGTGGTGATTAAGTCATGTGAATGGAGCCCTCATAAATGGGATAAGTGCTCTTATAAGAAGGGATATGAGATAGCTCCCCGGCTCCTTCTGCCTTATGAGGACACAGCAAGAAGACACTCATCTATGAACAGGATACAGTCCCACACAAGACACCAAATCTGTTGCCACCTTGATCTTGGATTTCCTAGCCTTCAGAACTGTGAGAAATACATTTTTTCTCTTTATAAGTCACCCAGTATATGGTGTGCTGTTATGGCCACCCTATCAAACTAAGAAAGGATGCCAGAGCATTTCTGTACTCCCTCAGTCTAGGATATAGTCATGGCTAAAGCTGCATGCTGACCCTTGACTCTTTTCATTTTGGAGGCTCCCTCTCTTCAGAATTATAAGACAAGTCTCAGTTTGACCATTGGGACAGCAGGTAACCTCTGAGGCTTCCTCAGGCATGCTACTGTTATCTCTTCTAATTTTCTAGTGGACCCTCTGAAATATCTGGAGGCTGTACTTAGAAACGGAAAAGTGTCTTTATTGAGTACCTTTCTAGGTACCAGAGAGGACCTTGTGCGTGTGTCCTTGTGCCTGAAAAGTGGTAGGTACTGAAAAACTGTTCATTGAGTAAAGGAATGAATAAAGCAAATTTGAAATGAATGAATAGCCGAATAATTAGAATAATATATAACAATTTATTGAATTAAGTCCCTGCTTGATTTAAGCAGAAAACTGAAAAAGGGGATTTTTAAAATAGACAAAAATTGGATGTATTTAAGGTGTACAACATGATGCTTTGGTATATGTACAGCATTGTAGAATGGCTAAATCAAGGTAATTAGCATGCGTTACCTTACATACTTATCTCTTTGTTTGGAAAAGGGGGATAGAGAACAGGTTTTGTCTTCTCCCACTGTGATCTCCTGCAAAGATGGAGAAAGAGATGCAGACTGCTCATGAGTGATTTTGTCTATGTTCTCATAAGGCCTTCCCAGAAATGATGATTTTTTTTTTAAATTTCAGCTATCCAACTTGATAAAGTCAATCTTCAAGTATATTGTGCGTGGTCTCTTCTGGATAACTTCGAGTGGAACCAGGGATACAGCAGCCGGTTTGGTCTCTTCCATGTTGATTTTGAAGACCCAGCTAGACCCCGAGTCCCTTACACATCGGCCAAGGAATATGCCAAGATCATCCGAAACAATGGCCTTGAAGCACATCTGTAGGCAAGATGGCTGAGAGATACAGGAGAGGTCTCTGCTTTTGAAAAGGAGATCTGCTTCGGTGATGATCTTTCAGGCAATCTCAACTTACTTCTGTAATCAACATCTAATATCAGTGGATCTGTGATTATAAAGTCTGAATATGTAATGCCTCATGAAGTATTTAATAATAGCCTTTACTTTATTTGTATTCGGATCAATTAGGTTTTTAAAAAAAGTAGAAGAGAAAATCACTAACCTTGATTTTTATATTGCAAAATCAGGTAGACCTGGAAACATAAATTTAAATCCTTAGATATTTTTCTAGAAAAAAAATGCAACGTTTATAAAGATAATATACCCATGATTTGCAACTGTAACAGGTGATCATTTATTATAAGAGTACCTGTTTGTGAACTTAATCATTCCGGTTCCATAAGCTATTTTTGCTTAGGAGATCCACTGTCATGTGATCCATAATTTTTCTACATAAAAAAATCAAAGTTAAAAGTTAGTCACATTATACAGTTATGCATTCATTTCAACAAAATAGTGAATTGATAATCTATTTGTTAATACATTCGGCACATATTTTGTGTGTTTGGACAAGTACATCTCCCTTTTGCCTAATGAACTTTTGAAAAGTAATAAAATAATAGAATAGATTAGACTTTCAATGGCAGAAAAAGTATTTGAGTGTTGATGTTCAGTAAAAAACAGATTCCTACTGCAGAGTGGTGCCAAATTAAAAGCCAAGTGATAAGCAGGGCATAATTTCCACTTTTGAATATTTCTTTAAAGTTTAGAACCTTAAGAACCTCGTGAAAAGTAACATGAAGTGAATGACCGACCTCAGTGTAGGCAAAGGTGGGGTGGGGATTTATTACCCTGGTAATTGAAATGTCTGAGGTTGGTATGGGGTTGACTGGAGATGGACACTTTGCTGAACTTCCTAAGGTAGGGGTCAGGAGTAGAGTCAGGGCTCCTTCTGGACTCCATGTCTCCCCTCCAGCAAACCCTTCACATATGTGGAGCTTGACCTTTCACATCCATATTTCAGTAGAGTTTACTAAGCACCTAGTTACCTATTAGACTTGAAGCTAAGAGGTGTAACTCTGATCATCCCCATTTTGCAGACTGAGAAACTGAGGCCATACTGTTGTGCATCTTTCTCAAGGCATTTGGGTTCTGATTAACTGGACTTGACACTTCCTTGGCATCAGCCCTATTCTCACATTGCGGCAAACTGTAGTTTGAGGTACCATGGAAGTCTTCCCTGCATTTTCTGAAGACAGGAACAAAGAAATAGAGGTGTGGAGTTGCCTTATGCAGGAGGAAGGGAAAATGGTTTTTTGCATTCAACCCCTGCTTTCCTGAGGAAACAGCACATGCTTTTGGCATTCTCATAAGGCTTTTGGCCCTGAGCAGATGCTCTGTCATTTTTTTTTCTTTTATAAACTGTGGTCAATTTCTGGATCGTTCTCATGTTCATAATCAGGGAATTATTTACAGCAAAGAAACACACTCTCAGTAACTTTGGACAGAGTGAGAAAGAAATGGTTGTAGTAGTTCAATAAACATGGATGCACTGGGGAAAATTATATTAAGATTAAAATGGTATACAGAGGAAATTCTATTACATCTTTGCCACTGGTTTGTTATTTTTATTGTTCAATGAGACATTATCTCACAATTTGTGTTCATTTAAGAAGCACATTTCCAAATCTTATTTCATTCCTCTCCTATCCGGCCTGTCTTTTTCATTTTTGCCATGTATCTTATTTATAATTTATGTGCCCTTTTATTTTATCTTGCAAGACAACTGAGTTTTCCTTTTAATTAGGATGTTGCTTTGAATATTACTTATCCTACAGGGCATATTTACAAGTTTTACAACAATACAAATGAGCACTGTAGTTTCGTTCCCAAAACCAAAAAATTAATATTCACACTATAAATAAGACGATCTGTCATGTTTGGTCTACCAGGTGAAATAAAGATTCTAGCTGCTGGCGCCCAAGCTAACCCACAGTGCTGTGGCCTTCTGTAGTTCTTTGCTGGGTTTTAAAGGCCAGCTCTTTATCCTAGAGATGGATCATACAAAGGGTGCTTCCTTAATTGGTCCTGTAAATTAGTATAGCCACAAGGTTAAGATGAAGGAAAAAAAAAAAAAAAAAACTCACCATCTAAAAACCTAACAGCCCCTGCAGTATTTCAATTAATGTTATTTTTAATTACTTGTATTAGCATTTGAGAACAAGGTTGATTGGCTTTTGCCTGTTAAGGAAACAGAACGAAAATTCTTTAAATAGAAAAACAAGAGTTGTTAATTATACTTAAAAATCCATAGATACTGTACTTAGATGTCTTGAAGGTCATCTGAGACTTGTAAAGCACATGTTTTATGTCTGCTTTATCTAAGGAGAAACCTAGATATCACAATGATGAATTGGATCTATTTGTATTTCCTTCTCTATTATTTCCCTCTTTTCTTTTTTAGAAGAGCATGAACACATGTTATTTACATTCTAGGAATCACTTTTAAGAAATTTTTTTGACAGTTTTTATTTTAGGGCAAGTCATTTCTGAATTTCTAAAAACATATGTAAAATAACAGTAGCCCAGTTTCATTTTAGATGTGTAGGGTTTTAGTTTTGTAACTCCTGGTTATATCAGGAATTATACTAGGAACACCAGGAGGAATTGTCCACCTAAGTCCTTTATCGAATGAGAAGGTAGAAGTTCTCATTAAGAAACCCACAAACTCAGAAGCTGGCAACCTTGGTATTTGGCAGTGGGATGCCAGTCAGGTTTTCGTGTTCTGGGAATTTGTGTTTGACCTGTAGCTTTTAATTATTTTTATGAACTAGGGAATAATGAATACATTTGTAATATATTGAAAAAACCCTCCAACACTCGCTGACCGAAAAGTAGATTTATATGATAATTCTTAAACACCAATTCTATTACTCAATGCTAGGCAGAATGAAAATGGAATACTGAGCCTTATTACTGAGAGAGCAGAGTATAATCAAAGCTGGTAGAATTAATACTGTTTAATTATTAGCAATACGCCTCACCCAGAGAACACATATTCATCACTAATCAGAATATTTTAGGCTCTTGTCCTAGGAGGGACATGGTAGAGAGTACAAAGCATGCTGAGCCCTAAAGAATGAAATTAGGAAAAGTGTGACATAGAGACATTTGACGATGGTCTTTCATAATATGGGTGATGGTGATGCGAAGGGAGAATAAACCTTATTAACTGTGGCAGTAGGTAAGATGGGGAGGTGGGAGTTGAAGTGCCAAGGTAGGGCCGGCCACAGGAAAGAACAATCCCCAACTGTGTGAGTTGCTGAGTGTGTCTTGAAGAGAGTAGTAGACAAGGCCTGTGATCCCAGGCTTTCCCAGTGTCTGAATGTGATACCTGAGCAACGACCAACCTAGATGACCTTGCCGGAGTGGTTGTTTGTATCTAGTATCAGGCAAATGTAATGTCATCATTAAGAGTGCGGGCTCCTGAGTCAACTCACCTGGATTCAAATCCGGGCTATAATGTTTATAATCGAAGTGACATTAAGTAACTTACTCAAGTTTCCCATGCTTCAGTTTCCCTATCTGTAAAATGGAGATAAACTTCCTTATAAGACTGTTGTGAGAGTTAGTGAAGCTGATAGATACAACATGTTTATATTCTGAAGCATGGTAAAGGCACAGTGAGTGTCGAGCTATTATTTTAAACTCTCAAACTTGTCCACACTAAGCCCCCAGCAATTCATCAATTATAGTTTGGCTTTTCCTGTTCTGGGACAATCTTCCCGCAGAAGTATCTGTTCATGAGTTTCTGTCCTGTTAAGTTGGGATTCATGTTTTGCCTGTCTGTGTCTCTAATTTTGGTGTCAGTGGTTTTTCCTATGACCTTAATTCTCTGATGACTCTAAAAAGAGATGTTAATTTTCTGTTTGGCTTTTTTGCTTGTGTTAGGATGGGAGTGACAAGTTCTGAGCTCCTTAAATGATGAGAGTGACAACTTCCAAGCTCCTTAAGTGCTGGACTGGACACCCGGAGATGACACTACATATATCATTAGAGTTGACGGTGTCCAGCTGCTTAATCAGTACATATTGATTAAACTAAACTGTGCAATACTTTATAGAGATGCAATACTGCAGACAAGACAGTTCTCCAAAGAAGTTCATGAACTGGTTGGGGAACTAGGATAGAGACTAAAATGACAGCAAACAATGCTGGGTGAATTTTCAGAGAATCAGAGTTGTACAGCTATGTTTCACATAACAACGTTCAGGTCAATGACAAACCACATACACGATGATGGTACCAAAAAATATAGAGCTGAAAAATCCCTATCACCTTGTGACATCGTAGCCCTCATGAAATCTTGGCACAATGCATTGTGCTAAGATGTTTTTGTGGTGATGCTGGTGTAAACAAACCTACTGTGGTACCAGTTGCATAAAAGTCTAGGATATATGAGTGTGTGTGATACATAGTATTTGATAATGATCATAAGAGATTGATACTGTTTTATGTGTTTACTCTACTTGTAACCATTCTTTTAAAGTGTTCTCATTCTACTAATGAAAAAAAGTTAACTGTAAAATAACCTCAGGCGGATTCTTCAGGAAGTCTTCCAGAAGAAGGCATTGTTATCATAGGAGAAGACAGCTCCATGCCTGTTATGGCCCCTGAAAACCTTCCAGTGGGACAAGGTGTGGAGGTGGAGGACTGACACTGATGATCCTGACCCTGTGTGGACCTAGGACAAGGAGTGTGTTTATATCATAGTTTTCAACAAAAAAATTGAAAAGTAAAATAAAGTAAATAAAAATAGGAAAAAGCTTATAGAAAAAGGATATAAAAATATTTTTGCACATCTGTAAAATGTGTGTTTTAAGCTATGGTGTTACCAAGGAGTCAACAATTAAGGAAATTAAAAGTTTATAAAGTAAAAAGGTTATTTTAAGCTAAGATTAATTTATCATCGAAGAAAGAAAATTTCTTTCTATAAATTTAGTATAACCAAAGTATACAGCGTTTGTAAAGTCTTCGTGTACAGTAATGTCCTATCACATTCACTCACTACTCACTCACTGGCTCACCCAGAGCAACTTCTAGTCTCAAAAGCTCTATTTGTGGTAAGTGCCGTATCATTTTTAACCTTTTAAAAAACCTTTTATACTGTATTTTCCCCTTATCTTTTCAGTGCTTGGATATGTTAGGTACACAAAACCTGGTCTTGTGCTACAATTGCCTGCAGTGTTCAGTACAGTCACATGCTATACAGGTTTGTAGTCTAGGAGCAATTGGCTCTCCCATATAGCCTAGGTATGTAGTAGGCTACACCACCTAGATCTGCGTAAGTGCACTCTACGATGTTTGCACAATGATGACATTGCCTAACAATGCATTTCTCTGAATATATCCCTGTCATTAAGGGATGCATGTCTGTGTATAAGCAGAGGAGCATGAGGTGGGTGGGGATGGCTTTCATGGACGAGGGAAAATAATACAATTAAAAAGTAACCTGAGTGATAATACAAATAATATAGGTAAAAATATGGAAGTAGAAAGCATAAAGCCTGTGGGCTGTTGGGGGCAGTGCTCAGGCCAGTTCACCTCAGGGAAGAGAGCAGGCAGGCTGGGATTTGAAAGTGGAGAGTCTCT